AGAGGAAGGACACTTTGCAGTTGTGTAACAAACGCAGGTCAAGCATAGAGCAGGAAAAAGACAGAGAACTTGGTCGACAAGCATGAAGAACCAGATGTTTTGGCTGCTTTAAATCACAGCTTTTTTTGACCCAAGGTCTAGTGCAAACCTGTTTGAAATTGCAGAGCAGGCAGAAACCTCTCTGCACACTCTCTCTCTGACTGTGATCAGAACATATGGTAATCACAGGGGGGGAAAAATGAAAAAAAGTAGAAACCTTTAAAAGTAAACAACCTGCTCCAAACCCCAGCTCTCTTTTCTAGCCATCCCCACAAAACAACAGCAGCAACAACAACAACAGAAAAGCTTTCTAGAGGCCCCTGGGCTCTCTTACTGTGGCATAGTTAAAAGTAATCCAATCTAGAAACTCCAGTTGAGAGTGAAAAATACCCCCAAAATGAGCTTTTTATCAGAAGAGCAATCATTGCACATGTATCTTCTTGCTCTGCCCACTCGTGTGCACTTCAGTGTGATATGCAGCAAGTTTTCCACATTAAATCATCTAAATAGAAGTCAGGTAGCCTCATCATCCATTTTTTTGTGGGGTGTCTTTTTTAAGCCCAGATTTCCTCCTGTGCAGTCATGCCCTTTTTCCCTTCAGCAGCACAGGACACCCCTCTCCCAGGTAACTGATATATGGGCAAGCTGGTCCCAACCCAGCCAACTTGCCGTGCTCTCCATCCCCTTCTCCCTGATGCGTATTTATCACCCCCTTTGGACTTTGTCCCAGTCTCCACCCTCTTGATTGGTACTAATTTACATCTGTTCTCGGACCTTGGTCGTCCATCTAATTGTTTTTAATCCAATTGAGAATTTTGCCCTCAATATCTATGTCCCAGATGGATTTACAAGAAAAGATTAATGACACCAGATAGCTAGGTGAGCTAAAGAACAAGCAAGGGCAGTCTGAAGGCTCAGAGGTGTCTGCGGTGTGCAAACATCATTGGCAGGATTGTGTCTTCCTCATGCCGAAGAGGACTAATTTCCCTGAAATTGGAGGCCTGGCTTACTGAGAAATATCAGTGTGAAAATGGAAATCAGGGCCATAAGCTGTGGGTAGGAATTGTTCAGGTTACAAGGGGTTTTATGGGGATTAAAGGATGAAACTATCATATGGAATATGTAAGTAAAGTGTCATGGAGAGCTGTGAGACTGCAGAGGGGTCTTCCCCTAGGTGGGTTGTAAGTCCTGTTGTTTGAGTCGTTTGAAATCAGGTGCAGCAAAACCTCATCACCTACCATAAATAATGGCCCTTCATTTTTGTCAGGAACTAGGACACAATGGGACTCTCCCATCACTTGTTTCCAAGATGCTATTAGGCTAATGTGTCCTGATCCAGTGGACTGTGGCAACAGCCTTCCAGGACGTCCATTGATGGGGAGCGTGCAGCTCCACGCTGTCACCTCTCATTGCTGCTGCCATGGAGAAGTGATTCAGATCTGCAGAGGGAACAAAATGCTGTTGTGACCGGATTTGAACCCAAGATCTCTGCCAGGCCCTTTGGATAGAGATGACAATCACATGCTTTTGTCTGAGAAGAAGGATGGGTCTGCTGAGAGGTGGTCAGGGTGTTTCTGGCTGGCACTAGTGTAGCAAATGTGCTGGTCAATCAGGTCGACCAGTTCACTCCAAGGCAGCACAGTCAGAGCCATGCACCACTGGTGAGAAATCTGACTTCTCCTTTTCCCAGCCACCTGCTCCGAGAAATGAATCAGTGGTGCTCTATTCCCCCAGCATCTCCCTGTTCAAAACACAGATCAAAACCTCTGCTTTGTGAAGGGTTTCCTGAGTTTCAGAGGAAAACAGCTCTGTCAATGTTAATAAAAGTTTGGGGATTATTGCAGGGAATACCACAGGCTATTACTCTGAAGTCAGGATGAATAGCTGCATTTCTATGTGCTGGTCTTGTTAGTGTGTGGTCATCTTTCTCGATGACTTTTTCCTCTAGCAACCCTTTGGCAGGTTTAAGACACATTTATGCCCGAAGTAACTCTCCTATATGTCTGAAGGACTGTGGAGTTTAGCGTGTCCCAAATGCTGGGTGTGCCCCAAACACTGGGTGTGCCCAACCTGTCATTTTCTGGAAACATCACAGTATAAAACAATGCAAAACTAGCACCCTCGGGACCACCACAGCCATGACACAATTGAACTTTCTTACTTCTTGATTTGAAGACAGGTGAGGGGTGCAGAGGAAGAGAAAGTTGCCACTATTAGATGGGATGAGGATGAAAACTGGAAGACTAGGAGGTGTTGGGATGCCAATGCCAAAACTGCCTCCATCAATGCTAATTTGTTCTGACTGCACCTCAGAATAAAATTATGAAATTGGTGAAAAACAAGGTAATAGTATTAAGTATCTCTGGGATTTAACAACCTGCATATGGATAGAGATGCTACACATATCCTGAAACCTAGATTTGGTATTCAGTGCTAAATTCTGAAATTTCATAAACAAAACAAGAAAGTCCAAGCAAAATTGTTCTACAACAAAACAAACCCTCCATGTACTGGACATGATAGCAAAAAAGGAATTCTAAGGCTTTGGTTTTCAAGATGAAGTCAAAGTTTGCTCAGCATCTCTGCTTCTCACCTCTCTGCTCCAAAACACCTAGAGGCTTCTAGAGGAGTTCAGAGGCAGGAAGTAGAGCTTCCAGATTCTGGGCAGGCATCATGATGAGTAGGAACCTTGGCCATGGGTTTATCAGGCAGTCATGTGGAGTGGACAGAAATTAAACATAACCCTGGCAAGCTGCTTGGTTTCTATTAAAACACTTCTGAAATTTAAGCACCCCGTATCCTGACCAAGAAAATTTGTCTTGTTATGATCACCTTAGAGCCTCCTCTATGCTACACAAATATTCCCCCAGGATAAGCTGTCCCGATGCAAGCGCCTGCTTGTGCAAAGAGCAACGCCCCCTTAGTTTTACATGATAAAAATTGCATAGGTACAATTCACACCCTGGAAACTGCACGAATGAGTGGACTTCACCTAACATAGAAACCTTAATGGGATCACCTTTTCTTCATTAAAGTGAGCATACGGTGCTTAATTCAGGTGTGTGTAGCTGCAATGCAGTCACCTGCACAGAGAAATGAAACGCATAGAGGATAGGATTTATCTTTTTCCCTGCAACAATCAGCTGCTCCCTAGCTTACAGGTCTCCCAAACCTGAAGTGCACAGAAAGCTGGTTCCTGACAGACAACAAGAAAGCTATTGACTCGCTGTGATCCACTGTGTAACTAACAATTACCAGCTAGAAGGCGGCTGCAGACCTGGCAGCTGCAGTCTGGCCAGAGGGATTTCTTGAGTAAGCAACCTATGCAGAGTCATTAACCTACCTGCACTCCCATGTGCACAGGAGAGCATCCCCACCAGGCCTTTGGGGCACAATTTGCTTTGCTTTTAGGCTACGTCACGAGTGGCTACCCTTACAAGTGTTACATCTGGGAAGGAGACCACATTTTATTGACTTTGTTCAGTGGCTTCCCCTGTCAGTGTGCAGTATGTGCCGTGGCTGCAAGACAGAAGGTGGTGCAGGCCTTTAAACAGTGCTTTCCAGGGGTGCTTCCTGTGAAAGTCAGTGCATACATTAGTGAAAGCAGGATTGGACCCTGAATAAGCAGCAGAAAAAAAAAAAAAAAGCACCATATGTTGGAAGGAGATTAATATTATGTAAATAATAAGGCATACAGACATTTTGTAAGTGGGCAGGCCGCTCTCATTATTGATCTACAATTAAACCGAACTGTGGGGTCATACCATCCTATTATGTCTAGCAGATTAAACTCAGTTAGGCTGTCTCTTTTTGTTATTGTTTCTGGTGGAGTTTTAGAGCTTTCTTAATTCAGGTCAAAAAATGAGAGACTTCCTCATAAGCATTTTAATTAACCAGATGAAGAATTCTCTTGCCCCCAGAGACTCACGGTACCAAATCCAGAACTCAACACTGCTACTCCTCTCAGACTGTCATATTTTGGCTCAAATTGTGTTTGTGCCCCTTTCATAGCATCACAGAATCACAGGATGGCAGGGATTGCAAAGGATTTCTGGAAATGATCTAGTCCAACCCCCCTGCCAAAGCAGGTCCACCCAGAGCAGGCTGCACAGAATTGTGTCCAGGTGAGTTTTGAATGTCTCCAGAGAAGGAGGCTCCACAACCTCTCTGGGCTGCCTGTTCCAGTGCTCTGTCACCCTAAAGTAAAAAAGTTTTTCCTTATGTTCAGATGGAACTTCCTATGTTCTGGTTTGTGCCGGTTCCCCCTTGTTCTGTTGCTGGGCACCACTGAAAAGAATCTGGCCTCATCCTCTTGACATCTGCCTTTTAGATATTTATAAGCATTGATAAGATCCACTCTCAGTTGTCTCCAAGCTAAACAGACCCGGTTTTCTCAGCCTTTTCTCATAACAGAGGTGCTCCAGTCCCTTTATCATCTTTGTAGCCCTCTGAATCTCTCCAGCAGTTCCTTGTCTTTCTTGAATGGGGGAGCCCAGAAAAGGACCCAGTACTCCAGATGTGGCCTCATTAGGGCAGAGTAGAGGGGGAGGATAACCTCCCTCAGCCTGCTGGCCACACTCTTTTTAATGCAGCCCAGGATACCGTTGGCCTTCTTGGCACAAGGGCATGTTGCTGGCTTATGGTCAACTTGTTGCCTGCCAGGACTCCCAGGTCCTTCTCCACAGAGCTACTTTCCAGTAAATCTCCCCCTAACCTGTACTGACCTTACATTTGCCTTTGTTGAACTTCATTATGTTCCTCTCTCTCCAACTCCCTAGGCTGTCTAGGGTTTGCTGAATGGCAGCACAGCCACTCCTCCCAGTTTTGTATCAACAGCATCATCATTTATTCAAGTCAAAACCACAAACAAATCAAACTCAACCTCCTTCTTCATTGACTACTTTGAAAAAAAGTACCTTGAAAGCTTGATTTTTGACCTAAACATGTTCTTTACACCCGTCAGTGCATGGGGACCAGAACGTATGAGGAATGAGACCTAAACCCGTGGAGGAAAGCCCATTTGGCTGGACCTGGGGACAATGTGCACCTCATTGCAGGCATTTTGCCTACCCCAAGCTACCAGCACAGTAGGGTCATCCCACATTGTCTCGAGGCTGAGTAAAACCCCAGTCCTTTTGCGGGGCCTCTTGGTGCACCGACTCCCCAGGGAGAGGCTCTCAGTTGAGTGGCTGGGTTTCTACAGAGCATGCTGCTCCTCAGGCAGATGGGGAGCTCCTTCCCAGTCAATGGTGGCTCTTGCCCATCTTCACTTGGCTGCAGTGACTTGTGGTGGCACTCCTGCAGCAAGCTGACCTTGCACCACAGGCCACCCATCGTCCTGGCAGGCTTGTTTGAAGGGAGGAAATGCACACCCCCAAAACAGTCATGGGTGAGAAAAGCATGCCCTTAAAGTCCCCCACTCCCCTGTATCCTCCTCTATGTGGAGCTGGCGCAGATACTGCTCCTTTCCAACTTGTGGGGTAGTGGTGTGCCGTAAGGGTGGAGGACATTGAAGAGGAAGTACGGTTTTGGGAAGGGCAGCAGCTCCAAGTGGTGAGGGATGAAGGAGAGCGTGTTGGGCAGCCAGGCAGTTGTCAGCTGCCCTTGCAGCGGTGAGTAGTATCCCACGGCAGGGATGGTAGCAGTGAGCTTTCTTGGCATCAAGCTAGGAGCCTTTCAAGAATAAAAATAGAGTATCAGGTGAATCATTACAGACTTTTTGTTAGGTACAATTTACAATCAACCTAATTTGTTTCCCTGATGCTCAGTAATTAAGAAGGAAAGCTGAGAATAGACTCCCTAAAACTCGGTGATGTACTGTCACCAGGGAGCAAGGTGAAATACCCTTTGTTTTATCCATGGGAAAACTCCTGACAGGGAAGAGCCTATGCGCCAGCCTACATAATATTAACTTTCCTAGACTTAGCAAGGATATGGATGAAGGCCAAAAAGTGCTGGTCAGCCTAACAAGGCTGGACACTGTAAAGAGATACTGACTGTTTATAAAGAAGCATGGCTTTATGGTTGCAAATGTAATATTTTTTCCTGTTCAGGAAGTTTCTGATGGTAAAGATATTTTTTATTTATAAAATTATTTATATTTATAAAATTATTTATTTATTATTTAAAGATATAAAGATATCCAAAGTGTGATTTACAGTAAAATGAGGGAGGATCATCCTGCAAGACCTCATGTAATATTTACAAAACAGGTTTCATTCCACTGAAATTCAGTGAAATTCTGATACTCACTGTGATATCTGACTTGGGAGCAGGAATGAAGTCAACTTCTGTCAGATGCTGAAGGCCACCAAAGTTGCCAAATTTTTCATGTTTCCTCCACTTTGCTCGCTGGTTCTGGAACCAGATCTGGATCCAGGCAAGAAAGAAAAGGCACAGAAATGAACAGGAGATGAGGGAGGAACTTCTCTCATCCAACTACTTTCCCTAGGTTCTAAGAGAGCGTCAGAAAACATTGACCTCCAGCTCAGCAGAACCAGGGACTAAAGGAAAAGACCGGGTTCAACACAGCACATTTAACGCTTTGCATAGCACGTGGGATCTCTGCATATCACAACAGCGTATTTTCTTTCACAGCTCACAATAAAACTAGGATCTCTCTGTTCAAGGAAAGACAGTGGGACGCCGTGCAGCAGGTCTTCTGGGCTCTCTGGAGAAAGCAGACCCTTTCCCGGTCAAAGTTTTATAGCAGTCAAGGCATACAGCATTCTGCTTTCACTAGGAAGTGTGATTTGTTGCATGACAGGGCTCTTTCACCTGTTCCCAAGTCAATAGATTGGGGAAAGACCCACCTACATATTTTACTGGGCTGCAATAAAAATGTGTCACCAGTGGAAATGTATTAACATCATTCTTTCTATATTTAGCTGGTTACATTTTGAAATTCACATAGGGGACCTATGCAAAAGACCCAGGGGGATGCTGCCTTCTAAATCTCTCATCAGTCTGAGTATGTTGTCTGCAATATCTTTTGCACTAGAAAACAGACAACAATTTTTCTCAAGGGAGTTTCTTCCATCTGTCAGCTGATTTGACCTGCTTGGGGTACACAAGTATTTGTTGTGCAGCCACAGTAGTGAATCTTGCTGCATTATCGTGAAAAGTTGAATCCTCCTTTCACTGTAGTTTCTAGCTGGCTTAGGAACTTACTGTTTGACTGTAAACATTTCTCTCTAGGCAAGTGATTCACATGAACACAAGGTGTTAGTGATCAAAACCAGATGCTGCTGGATGTAAATATGTATGTATTTTAAACCCAATAATGAGCAGCTCAATTATTTCTACATCTCTTGCCCAGGAAGTAATGGGAATGTCAGGAGCCCTCTGTTATATTGCTGATAGTTAGCAGTATCTGAGGTTACTGAAAGGACAGTCCTGTTTATCTGGCTTTGCATGTGTTTGAGAACTGCTTAGTCTATATGAACTGCTCCATTCCCTTTCTACCATGCAGGAGTTATATGGTGAAACAGCACCATAAAAATGACCTCTCTTTAACATCAGCAAAGTGATTGAGGGCAGAGAAGGGACTGAAGCCAAAATTCAACCTCTGAAGTGCTTCTTCCAAAGTCTGAACATGGGATAAAGTCCTCATTTCCAGATGTTTTTAAAGGCAAAGCTGTGTTCACAGATAGAACTGCTCTTTTTTGCCCAATCAGCTCTCCAACACCCTTACCCCTAAAATGATTTCTCAATGCCCACCCTGAATTTCTTTTACTGGTATTTAAACCTATTCCTCCATGCTCTGTCTACCACAGATATCAAGCTACTGATATAATTTATTCTCCGCACTCAACTAACCTTCATTTTTTCCAATGTTTCTGAGCTATGGCACTGGGACAGAGCACAGTATTCCCTTGAGTGTTCATAAAAGTCACACCAGTGCTAAAGCCAGGGTCAAATACTTCTTTAATCCTGCCTGAGATTTCACAAAAGACTCATTTGCCCTCTCAGTTGTCAGCAGATTGTCCAATGAAACAAGGACTAAAAGAGAGTGGAGAGGGACAGTGTCATGCCCCATGTTGTTACTCCAGTACTTCTTACTCTGTAAGATTGTCCCTTTGCTGTTCTCTTGCACATGACCAATGATCCAGAGCTTGCTGTACTAAAGACTCAATGTTTTCATTTTTTTCTAGTCCACTAATCTTCTTACCATTTCATAACACTATCATTAAAGATTTTACTGATTATATAGTTCAAATACACATTTGTGTCAGTAAATGGTTCCTTTGAAATGTCCTCATTTGCAGTTGGACACCTGTTGTAGACCTCGCTTTTTGTCTACTAGCACATGCTGTCTTGATCTGGTGTTTTCTTATTCCAAACAGGTCTACAACAAGGTCCTTACAACGACATGCCTCTGATGTTACTACCTTTATCAACCAAATACACAGAACCATAGAACCATAGAATCATAGAACCATAAAACATAGAATTATAGAACGGTTTGGGTTGGAAGGCGCTTTTAATGTTCATCTAGTCCAACAACCTGCCATGGACAGGAACATCTTCCACAAGATCAGGTTGCTCAAAGCTCTGTCCAGCCTGACCTTAAACACTTCCAGGGATGGGACATCCACAATGTCTCTGGGCAGCCTGTTCCAGTGTCTTGCCACTCTCATTGTAAATAATTTCTTCCATACAACTAATCTAAATCTATCCTCTTTCAGTTTAAAACTGTCACCAATAATATCATAAAAAGATGAATTTGTCAACACCTATTTTCCATAAACCAGTGTTCATAAGCATTAAATATATTACCCTTTCTTTAATTCTTCATTAACAGAGACTTATATCAGCTTTATCACTGTTTTGCCAAAAATCAATATTTGGCTGACAGGCCAGCCATTATCTGGTCTTCCAGTTTGCCGTTTAAGTTCTAACATAACATTAACCTTCTTCAAGGCCCCTGGAACTTCTCTTGTGCTCTAGGACTGATTAAATATCAACACTGCTTGCTTCTCAAGCAGCTTTTTAAGAACTACTGGAGGTAAGTCACCTGGATGTCTGGATTTAAATGTATCTATCTGTAGCAGCTGCTCTTCAACATTGTCCTTATGGAAAGTGTTTCATCATCATTGCACGATACTACCACCTTACCTGACATATTTCCAAGGATAGAGCAGAAATTATGACTGAACATCTCTGCCATTTCTGCATTATCCTTGACAGCCCCAGTGTTTCTATAAAGTAACAGATCAATATAAATATAATTCTTCACTTCTTTTTTTGTTTGTTTGTTCTTAATGGACTTTTATTGAGTTTCTGATGATCCTTAATTTTTATTACCAAAGCTTTGGCCTGTATCCTTCTGCTTTGCTTATTAATTTTTTATAATTTATTGTTTCTACTGTTTACTCATCCAACATTCTTCATTTTGTGTTACATGTAGGCATACACACCTGCAGAGATATAATTCCATCTATCCTCTTAAACTGTTTCACAGAAATCATAGCTTTTTTTGCTTGATTGGAGGACACAGGCTTTCTGCACAGCAACAAAATGTTTCACTTGGTTACCTGAGGGTTGCTCTTTTTTTTCCCCCAGCTAAATTATCTCTCTGAATTGATTTGACCTATACTGCTTTTAGCTTTGTCAAAACTATCATTTCAACATACTAAGAGTATAAACAAATTCTCTACACTCTATTTTGTTTGTATTTGACAAATGCAATCAATCAAAATTATAACAACTTGTAACTTGTACCACAGTGACTGCTAATTTTTAGTGCTGTGGCCAGTTTCCCTTTATCAGCCAAGATGAGGTCAAATGCAGAATTTCCTGTGTCGTGTTTAACACTGTCTGGATTGGGAATTTGCCATCTGCAGTTCATACACATGGGGCTTTTTACTTCCTTCATGTACATCTCAGGTTGATGTTTCCCATGATAACTCTTCCTTCCCCTCCCCTCCTCCAATCATAAATGCTTTTTTTTAAACAGAAGATTGTCCTGTTCTTTTGTGTGATTTGCTGTTCTGTTGGGAATGCTAACTAGTAGCCCAGCTTGTGCTTTATACCATTGGGAATGCATTGTGGGTGCACTGATATCGCTCATGGGCATATTACGGCTATGCTGCTCCAATTTTCCCTGTAACCTAACTATGAAGCAATATCATCATGGTTAGTTGATAGTCCCAGGCATGTCACAGTCAATAAACTGCTCTGTGTTGAACTTTGATTGCTAGAGGGGGATATGTGCATAGAAGTACACTGAGCACTCTAGCATTACGGCAAGTACAGAAACTGCCTTGTGCAAAGATCGTCACAACAGCGCCTGGTAAACAACACCAAATTCCAATACACAGAGGTATATATATGTCAATGTAACACATTTCATATATAGTAAACATTTGGGGTCAGTTTTCAGCTCAGTCAGCAAGACTACATTACAGCTGGGGAACCGGTTTCCATGCACTGAAATTACAGCCAAAGCATTTATAGTCTGTGACATCAAAACACAGAACAGCAAGAAAGCATTTTCATTTGGACAGTTATTTTCACTTTTTTTGAGACCCTGTAGAAGATGGATGTGGATGACAGCTCATACTGGATGTACGTTAGTCTATAAAAGGTTGATAAATGATTAATAAATATTTTCATAAATGGCCACTCTGACGCTACAGAGTCCAACAGGCTGCTCATAACCATCTGTAACTCCTATTTGCTATGCATTTAGTATGCTTAGAGCTCCTGTTATTCCTTTGGTTAATCCCATTTTGTTAGTCCCAGCTGGGTGACAAATACTTTTTTCCCTATTTGTAAAAAGACAACAGTGATACAGGCCTCCTCTGTAAGGCAACAGAGAGGTCACGTATTTCATTAGCGTTGTCACCCAGGCATAAACTATTAAGAATGTACTCTGAATAAAGAACTGGTGTGGTGAGCATAGCCTTTTGGAGACACAATGTACCTGAACTCTGGCTTCTGGGAGGTTTATCTTTGCTGCCAACTGATTGCGAATATGGACATCCGGGTAGTGAGTCACTTGGAAAATCTTCTCCAGTTCCTGGAGCTGCTCAGCTGTGAATGTTGTCCGGATTCTCCGTTTCCCTTTCCTCTCAACTGTGCAAACAAAGAAAGGTGCATCACATTTTATAGGAAAAGGCCACAAGGCCACAAGAAGACTCAGAGATCCATTCATTTCTGTAAATTGTTGTGGAGCTGGGATGGCACTTCCAACACCTTCCAGAGATCTACTTACCATAGGTGACTGTCTCCTGACCCAGCAGTGAGGGTGAATGAACTCCTTTATCATTCAAGAACTGAGCCAAAAGTGCCCATTTGAATGCTGATTCCATTGACGTGCTGCATGTCAAGAGGTATAAACCCCTATGTATTTTAAACACACTAGCCCAGCAGTGGGTTTTGTCATCAAAATCCAAACTTTGACGCCTTTTTGCTCCTGTCACATGCACACATCTGTTGCTAATTTATAATCCTTTGTTAACTACTTGTGAAGAAATGCTTAATGTAAATGGAATGTAAAAGTAGATATTCCATTTTGCCTTGTTCTCATGCATGTAAAGAATCACCATCTTTCTTTCAGCAGATAAATTTTCCATCCCTATCTTTTCCAGTCATACTGGTCTTACTAAGCTTTCCTCAAGCTCTGAGGTATTATCTTTTTCCATTGTCACTCTATCGATTTTGATGAATTTACTCCTGCATGCCAGCAAGATCAAAGAGTACTCAAAATGCGTGAATGTTTTGGAGGGAAATCAACCATTCCAGACTGACTGACAGCCACTCTCTTCCCCTACCATTCCTTTGGCAGTATTTAGGGATAGCCAGCAGTTTCACTGCAGTGTGACAGTGGCATTAAAGATGTTATCTTGCATGGAAATTAATGGTATTCTGACAGCATCATTGCAGTATGGCGACTTTCTAAATAAGCTTAGCCTTAAGAACTACAAGGTCTTAAAACCCATGGAGCAGCATATGGGGAACTTTGGATGCTGTGAATTCCAGAGTACTCTTAGACTGCTCCATTCCTTCACCTACTGTGGTGTCACCACACTAAAGACTTCCCTCAGCACTCCTATGGTGTTTCGAAAATGCCCCCCTCCACCCTATTTAGATCATGAACTCTGTATGCAGCTTGGTGTAAGTTAGAGTAAGGTCTAGGTTGCTCTGAAATGATGCTTAAGTGCTGAGAGGAGAAAGGAGCAGCAAAAGTGAGCTGTAAGGCAGCTGATCCACAGACTGTGGAGTTCAGCCTCATCCCAAGGCTGGAATCCTCTTTCATGCACAAATAGAGTGTCTTCTAGATGACATTGAATGACCAGTGCAAAAGCCATGGCCCAAGAATTGTGAGTCACAAGGTTTTTTCTACTGAGCTTGGAAAACTGTAGCCTGATAGGAACACAAAAACTCTAATATCACTAGTGACTATGATGAGTACACTACTCAGTGACGTGAAGTAATTGGCAATGACACCATGTTGCTTGAGAAAATTATCTTTCTGAATAAGTGCTTTTGGTCTTCCATTATCTAATGACAATTACCAATTTATTCTATGTAACTAGATGCATACACTAATGTGAACAGTTAACCATAGAAAGTTAATTTAGTCCCCCAAAGAGACTTAGTACCTTTTTTCCCCCTTTTGTTCAACCATTAGCATAACCTCTTCCTTCTGGGGGCTAAAGCAGTGAAAAAGGTAACTGAACACCTTGGCCAATATAAACTGGGCTCTGTGCCAACCAGAAAATGACATTCTTCATTCTGTAATTGAAACTTCATTGTGACTCTGTTGACACAAAAAATAAGGAATAAAAAATTCTGTCCACTGACTTGGTAGGAAGCTGCCCAGGACACGATACCTGGGGGCCAGTAAGTGAGTATATTCCATTGTGGATATTTCATCTTTTCTAAACCTTTCAGGTACTTTGAAAGAAAACCAGTCATGCAAGAAGAACTGTGGAGTGTCATTTATCATGAACACTGTCAATACTCTCATATCTCTCAAACAACTTAATAAAGCTGATGTCCAACACAGTTAAATCTGTATCATTACATTTTTCACTAGCCTATCAAAGTACAACTCATTAGACTGCAATGCTGGCTTCAGCCCCAAGGGAAAAATGTTATTTACATTGAATCTTGATGGCACTACTGGGGCAGAGATCTGAAATAAGAAATATTTTTACGTGGTTTTGCTCAAGACAGCACTGGGCACTCTCTACTAAGAAGCCCTGATTACAAAGTTGCATCTGCTTGAACCTTCCCAAAAGATGGTTGTAAGGGGGATTTATTGCTATATGGATTAAAAAGGAAATGTCAGTGCTTAGAATATGAATCTCAGGACACTGTGTCCTCTGTAAATACGGTAGACCTAACAGTTCATAATGGCGTCTCTTGTCTGGAAGATTTTCAGCTCACACCTCCCTGTGGGGATTGGCCACCATATCCTACTGGGAGATACTGCAGACAGGTAAGATTGAGTACAAAGGTGATATTTTGTCAAGCACATCATGTTCTGTCATACAGTCGAGAATCTCCCCGCTATATTTGTATCATTACAATGTATGATATTTGCATTTCTCTAGCACTGGGCAATTCATACAGCAAATCCCAATGAGTGAAGTTTGTCCTGACCTTGTCATGATCTCAGAAATTTGACGCCTCCTTGAGATGTCCTGTACATCTTCATGAACACTGAGCTGAGCTCCTGCCTCTATCCAGGGTAGAAGACTGGCTTCAATAACCTGGGAGAAGCTGCAGTCTACCTCCAATGTTTCCTGAGTGGAGCAAGAGATTCAAGCTCAAACTGTGACCACATTCTTGTTCCTGTAGTCCCAACACTACATAAACATCTGGGATGCTGGCAGGGTTCTTGTCCTGCCAGGTTTTGTATTCCCTTCAGGGCAAAGAGAACAAACCTGCCTACTTCCCCAAAGATTTCTGAATTAGCAAAAAGACCTTTTTTAAAAAAAAACTTATTAATGAACTGAAATATAATTTCATTAATATGAAAAGGAAGAAAGAAAGTGTCTATATTTTAAAATCTTAGGTGTCAAATCAGATTAAAAAAAGAAGTATATTTTAGTATTCTGTCAGAATAAGCAAATAATGATTTAGCCCTGTCTCATACATTAACTAGACTGTATAGAAATGAAATGACTAAGGTGGACTGGGATGGGATTGAAGTGAATGCCAAAGACCACCTGGATCAGCCATCAACATAGTGGACACCATACAAAGAGCGATCATTATTTCTTGCCTGTAAGCACACATGATGACAGCCATCGTCTCCTCTTTAGAATGTGGAGTCAAAGTTTAGTCAAGACTTTTAGTGCCCACACCAGAGGATACTACTTGGGTTAGAAAGAAACGGTTTCCATTATTTGGCCACGCTAGCTGCAGGACTTCTCCATAGAGTATATGTTTATACACACCAGAAACTGAGATGACAATGTGGATATCTGTCCTTGGCTACCAGTTTAACTAGTTGTGGGTGCTGGAAGGACACTTAGTATAGAGTCCACTGTATTAGTCAGCCTACAGATAGATACAAGAAATCAACTGTTAAAAGCCATGCAATACCATCTCTACTCGGCCAAGGTGTGGAACAAACTCAGTGAAGAATATGAGTCTAGAAGGAGCTGCAAATTCTGCCCTACAAAGAATTTATGAGAATGAGAAGACAAAGGCTGTGCACAGCTGGTGTAAGTTTGGGAAGAAGCTTTTAGCTGGGACATCTTATGGTAGCTGAGGCTGGACACATTGCCTTGAACCACATAGTATTTTAAATTGTGCTGGAGATGGGATGGGGAATGAATCTGCCAGATAATCTCTTACTGTACTCTGTCCCACTGACAGCTAAGAAATGTCCAGGAATACAGAGCATGGCTTCAGAGAGAGCAGACTTGTGAGTTTCTGATGTCTCATATCAGCTTCTTTGGTATGAAAATGACCCAGATAACTTGGTGACAAGCAAAAGAAACTCCCCATCAGTTCACTCTTACATCCTCTGCATTTTTCCTTCTTGAAAGGTGAACTGTTTTACAGACAAGACTCTTATGTAAGGGAAGGATCTACACAGTGCTCAGAAGTGTCAGTCCTACTGAAGTCAGATTTTTCAAAGCTGAAACTCATCAGATTAAACAAAATACAATAACACAGGGTCAGCTATGGGCCAGTAGAGACTGAAGGACAGGCTTTGATTTCAACAGGAAATGAAATTAAATTGCTAACAAAACAGACTCCTGTGAACTAATCAAGGCTTTTGCCAGTAGGAAATCTAGAAGAGTGTATTTTTTTTTCTATAAGTAATCAGTCATTCTATTTTTATTTTTATTTTAAAAAAAGGCTATGAAAAATACAAAATATCTAGGACTGTATGCTAACATTTTCTCTTGCAGAATGAAACTTTGTCTGACTGTGGCTTTGATACTTCCCTTTGCCTTGGGACCCTAGCTTAGAGATCCCATAGCAAACAACAGCATTCAGAATTACAGTCTAATAAAGAATGTGGGTGGAAGATATAAGACTAGAAAGTGTTGGAAGTGTAACATCGGCTTTACAAACGTGGCTCTTCAGTCTCTGGGGAAATAAGACTCTGTCTGAGTTTCCTGAGCTATTTTCTATGTAAAAGATGGGGATATTCAAGTGTGCTTTTATACTCTGTGAAAGTCATTTGCAGGTTAGCTGACTGCTGAAACCAAGCCTGAAAATGCCAGGCAGCTAAATATGTCAGGTTTTGCAGATGCTTAGAGATACAGCTGTCTTATACATTGCCTTACTGTTGACATTGGAAGAGCCAGATTCTCCATGCCGATAAAACAGTATAGCTCCTTTAAATTCAATAACAGACTCCATTTGTCCTCTTCAGGTGTGGCTTTATTACTAAGGTCAGATTGGAGCAAGTTTAAACATTTGAACTTTGTAGGAATACAGATTCTTCTTGAAGGTGCGCAGTGAAAGGATGAGATCAATGGGTACAAGTTGCAGCAAGGAAAATTCTGATTACATAATAGGATAAAGATGTTTTTACCCTGACGGTAGTCTGATGTGGGCCTGGAGAGGCTGAGAAGTCTCTATCCTTGGAGACACTCTAAACT